CCTCTTGGGCTGCATTGTAGTTCTTGTGTTTTGGGTCTTGTCATGGCATTCCCCCTCAAACAATTGGTAGGAAACTTGATAAGACTGAGTTTGTCTTAATTGTGTCAGTGCTTTAGTAAAAGCATATGCTACTTGCTCAGATAAGGGAATAAATACACCACCAATTGTTTCCCAAGAACTTGATCTCTCACAAAATGAATATCAAGTTCAATGTGCTTGGATCGGGTGTGAAGCATTGGATTGGAGGCCATGGCAGCAGCGCTTATGTTATCACACCACACGACTAGGACCGGCTGAAGAGATCAAGTTGCAACCATGCAATTTCAGCAACCAAATTTGCAAGGGCTCTGTATTCTAATTTGGCGCTCGACCTAGACACCATTCTTTGCTTCTTTGCTGACCAAGAGACAAGAGAGTCACCAAGAAAGACACAATGTCCCCCCATTGAGCAACGATCATCACGACAGATTGCCCAATCTACATCAGAGAAACCTTAAAGAGCGAGATGATTATTGGATTTCAGATGAAGTTCCATGTTGTGTCTCTTTCAGGTATCTAAGTAAACGTTTTAACGCTTGCTAATGCGTATCTATTGGAGCACTGAGAAATTGACTTAATTTGTTGACTGCAAACATGATGTTTGGGTGTGTGTTGATTAAGTATTGAAGAGCTCCAATGATTTGTCTGTAGGGTGTAGGATCCTGTAAAAGTATGCCATCTTTCCTTGAGTAATGTTTGTTAACAACCATAGGAGTAGGCATAGATGAACAACTTAGCATTCTAGATTTCTTCAATAGTTCATGAATATATCTCTCGCTTTAAGTAAATTCTTGTATCATCTTTATAAACTTCGATACTTAGGAAATGATGATTTGGGACAAGATTTTTCAAGGCAAAAAGAGAATGTAGGTGTTTAATGAATACTTCCAGCACTATCAAAGAATTGCTAGTAATTATGATATCATCAATATATATATAAAAAATAAGATAATTTCTCTTTTCTTAAAGAAAAACAATGTGCTGTCACACTTAGAGCTCATAAAACCCCAATCAAGAAGCATGGATTGTAGTAGCTCAAACCAAGCTCTTAGAGCTTGTTTAAGACCATAAAGTGCTTTCTTTAGTAAGCATACATGATTAGGGAATTTTAGATGCACAAACCCCTCTAGTTGTTTCATGAGCACTCTTTCTTGCAAATAACTATTCAAGAAGGCATTGTTGATGTCAATTTATCGTAGTGGCTAGCCAAATGTAATGGCTGTAATAAGTATAAAATGCATGGTAGGTGCCTTTAGAATAGGGCTAAACATCTCATCATAATTAATACTAGGATTTTGTTAAAACCCTTTTGCAACTAATCCTGCTTTTATTTTCAGTAGGGTGCCTTTTGTAGTGAATTTATTTTTATAAATCTACTTACAATCTACAATGTTTCTTTGGCCTTCATAGGGAATAAGAACCTATGTATCATTTTTTATCAAAGCTTGACACTCATTAAGCATAGCTTGTTTCCATTCAGTAGATTTCATCACTTCTTTTACACTAGTTGGTTTTGTATGAGTCAAAATTTCAATGTTTTCCATTCCAACATAGGGTGCCTTGGGTTTGTGAATCCCAACCTTGTTGTGAGTAAGTATGTGATGTTGATTGATCGAAGGTAAGTTTGATTGCTTAGGTCCAACTGTCAAATTTTCTGTACTGGTATTATTGTCTTGTAGATCATCATATTGTAAATCTGCATGTTGTGATGATACAGATGAGGTAGTAAGTGATCTAGTAGGACTTGACACCTGAATAAGATTTTGATTTTCTAGACTTGAAGAGTTGGACAGTGGAGGTATTGTATTAGTAGGACAAGTCACATATTGAAAAGTCCATAGAGGCGCAAAGAATATACTTGGGTGAACATCCTCTTCTTGAGGTGAGACTTTCTTATTAATGAATCCTTTTGCAAATGAAAAATCACATTCATTAAATATAATGTGATGAGAAATAATAATTTTCCTTATAGAGGTTAAACACTTATAACCCTTGTGAGAGTTGCTATAACCAAGAAAAACATACTTAGTTGATCTAAATTGAAGTTTATGTTGATTATATAGTTGAAGACAAGGATAACATGTTGAACTGAGAACTTTAAGATTGTCATAATTAGGGTACTTGTGCATTAATTTGAAAAATGGTGAAATACCCCCTAACATAATAGATAGAAGCCTGTTTATGAGTTCATTTGCAATGTGAAAAGCTTCCCACCAGTAATGCAAAGGCATTTTTGCTTGAGCTAAAAGAGTAAGACCAACTTTAACAATATGCTTGTGTTTCCTTTCAGCCTTTCCATTTTGAGCTAAAGTGTGAGGACAAGAGTGTCTAAACACTATTCTCGAATCTACTAGAACCTTAGTGAAACTTTTATATTCACCTCTCTAATCACCTTGCACAATTTTTTATCTTAGTGTCAAATTATTTTTTTTGCATAATTCTTGAATTGAATAAACATGGACAAAGCTTCATCTTTAGTTTGGAGTGGATAGATCCAAGAGAAGCGACTAAAATCATCAAGAAATAAGATATAGAAACGAAAACCATTCATAGACACTAAAGGTGAAGGACCCTAAAGATTAGTGTGAATTAATTCAAGGGGTTTGTGTACATGTGAAGTAGACACTTTAAAATGAAGAGAATGAGCTTTGCCATATTTACATGACTCACATAAGGTATTTTTAATCTTAGTAGAAACCTTGAGATTGCATTTACTAATGATTCGATTCAAAACCCTTTCACTTAGATGGCTAAGTCTACAATGCCATAAATCTTTACTACTAACACTATTTTTTAATGTTGAATCATCAACTTCTTCAGCTACCATAGTTAACTCTTCCCTTCTGTCAAACTTACATTTCTTCTTTTCTTTAATCTAAAACATACCCTTAGTTTGCTTTCCTTGAAGCATCAGTCCCCTTGTTTCCTAAGCCTTTACAGAAACACCATGAGCATTAAAAATGACATTTGCATTATTATCTTTGGCAATCTTGTAAACACTCATCAAATTTTTGTTAGCATCAGGTGTATATAAGACATTATGCAGAGTGACAGATTTATTAGAAATATTATGAACTGTAAAAGATCCAGATTTCAACATGCATTTTTTGGCCATTACAAATAACTATTCTAACCTTACCATTAATATTAATAGGATTATCAATGTATTCAATGTCATTTGTAATGTGGCTAGTGGTGCCACTATCAAGGTACCATGCTTCATCAGTCACAGTTTTAGGAGTTGGCTAGTATGCACCATTAAAATCTAAGGTGTTACTGTCCATCTTCTTCTTGTTATTTTGTTAAAGTTATGGTTATATCTGTGGTAGTAGTCTTGAATAGTATGATTGTATTTTTCGCACATTTGACACTTGGGTCTTTCATTGGTAGCACCAGAGGTATCAAGGCCTCCACCACGTCTTCCTCTTCCATGACATCCTCCACATTCTCACTTTCAAGTGTTACCTAATGAGAATGGTAACTCAATATGAGCCACATTTGCAAAATGGGTAGTCACTAGTTATTGAGTGACATGATTTAGTTGTTCAAGATGATTTTCAAACGTGAGAAGATCAGCTTGAAAATTGATCCAAGTCAGATCATCAACTTCTTTAGTAAGCTAAACAACTATTACATTATATTCACTATCTAAGCCTGTGAGAGTTTGAATAATGAGGTTTGAAAGAAAAATCAAGCAACTAATGATTGCCAACTGTTCAGATAGAAGCTTCATTTTGGTGAGATACTCATTCACAGAAAGAGCACCTTTTCGTGTCTGTTGTAGCTCTACCTTCAACATTAAGACATGAGACTTTGTTTGAGCTCTAGCGAGAGCTCATGCAGACTTCCAAAGACCTTCAGCAGTGGAAACATGAGTCATTTGTGATGACACTTCAATGGTCATGGTATTTAATAACCATCTGAAAAGTATTTGATCACCAACAATCCAGTCTTCAAATTCTGGATTGTCTTTGATAGTGTTGCCTTTAGTAAATAACTAGGCTGGACACCGTTTTGTGCCATTAAGGAAGCCTTCAAGCTTAAAACCCTTGACGATAGGAAGAACATGCATCTGCCACAAGGAATAGTTTGTTCTATCTAGCTTGACAGCATAGAGGAAGAGTTGTCGATGATCCAGAGACCTTACCCAGATTGATAGCTGTAAGGAATGAGCTTGTCTTTGATTTGTTTGAAGAGCCTACTGATGGCGATCCTTCAATCGACATGGTTTTCTCCTTCTAAGCTCTGATATCAAGATAAACTTTCTAAGGATAGTATTTGGTAAAAATGGTGGCTAATGAGCCAAAGTATTATTTTCCTTAAATAGTTAGGCCTTGTTTGGTTGGGGAGGGGTGGACTCCCCCTCCCCCTCTCCTCCCCTTGAACCAAACAAGACCTCAAGATACATAGCCTTAAGTAAAATAATCTGAATACACGTGTACAGGAGAAGTACAAAAGATTAATCCTAAAGTGAATACTGTACAACAGACTAAATAGCCAGCCTAGCACTATACAGACATATTGGGCTTTGAGCTTTGTCTTGGATTGGGCTTGCATTGTGATTCTTGTGTTTTGGGTCTTGTCGTGACAATTATTTTAAGGCAAAGAATCTTAGAAAAGCAAACACATGATCTTCATCTGTGAACGCCGCATTTCAGCTGATAATGGCATTCAGGTTCTCTCTTTCAGTTATTTTTCATTTGCCTTAATTATGGAGCTATGTATATAAGATCTATCGCACATTTTCTTCAAGGCCTTTATGGATGCAAGATCAAACATAAAGAATTCAGATGCAAACATCACTAGTAATTTTGTTCGTCCCTGCAAGAATCCTGATGCGGTTTAAGCACACTGAAATGAAATAATGTCGCAGATCTCCCATATTTGTCTTAGGTTACTTGGATGCATTAGAGCTTTAAGAAACTTCGGCTAGAAAGGTTTGAAACAACCAGAGAAAAAAGTAAGATGAAAAGAATGATAAATATTCTACAAGGTCACAGTATTTGTACAACAATTTCACATGAGAAGTTAGAAGGCTTCAGATCTTGAGTACGGCAAATCAAGCCATTGGAGAACCATACAACATCTATCATTTTACATAAGTAAATGGGGAATTCAGTTTATCAAAACTGAGATCTTGTGCAGGCTAATATAAGCACACTATTCTTCTTGTATATTCTGCTCTTCTGGAAGATGAGTTGAAGATTGTCTTTATCCATTATTCAGCCTTCCTGACTAAAATTGGAAGGAAAAGACAACAATCACTGGGTGAATTAACCATGCAACATTAAAATGAGCATTGAGAGAGCGTGGAAATGACACAAAACATCACACCAAACAAAAGGCATCACCCCTTACAGTTAAAAAGAAAACTAAACTTGTTTCCTCATGCATTGCAAATAATCTAAGAAATGAGACACTGTTTACGACTTGTGAATAACATGGCTTACACTATTCAGGCCAACAAATGACAAGATTTGAATGTTCTACATGCAACACATTGCTAGATCGAACCCAATACTTCCACACCATAAATATTGATGCTGCATATCTTGAATTAACTTCATTTCCTTTTTCTTACTACGTGAAAGTAGCCGGCATGGATATTCTTCTTAATAATATGCAAAACATTGTGTTGCAATGTCAACCAAGCAATCTAACATCCAAGAAAAAAATTGATTTTTCTATAGATTGGGAACAGATAATTAAAGTTGACGGGTAAGGGCAGGAATGGGGTCCATCCTGGATTTGAATTAATTTGGGAAAACAAAAACCTAAACCCAAAAAGAACAAAGAAAAGTAAGTCACATAATTATTAAACTTACAATTGCTTCTTCCATGTTAAAACATGCTGAAGAGTCAATTGAAAATCCCAACTCCAACATTAGCTTCTCCAAGCGGTTCACATTAGTCAAATAGAGATAACCAACCTAGTTCAATGAATCTGCGAGTTAGGTATGAGGCTAAAAACAAGTCTAAAATTTGTAGGACAACAATATATTATGTGAGATTTTCCTAACAGTTATTTGATCCCATAACAAATGAACAATATTTGAAGATAGACATGTATAAACACAAATACGTTGAAACTTCAAAAAAGATGTGCCAAATAGCCCTACAATGTGCTACGTGCAACAATATAATCATGCACTATTAATTAGGTTTTCAATTTAACACAAATCAATGTGCTAATACACGCATAATGTGTTGTAGTCAATAGTCAATGTTACTTTGGTTAACGAACTAGAAGGAAGAAATGTGCTAAGTAATACATATATATATTCCCAAGATAAGTCAAAATTTGAAGACTGACTAATGTTTCCAGCGAAGATGCTCTGTTATATACAGCTGCGCCAGCACGCTTTTTGGTACGTGTTTTGCTTGAACCGATGTTCTTTCCCCATCGAAGCACGTCCCTGCATAGAGACGACTAAAAGCTTTAAGCCAAACATAGAAAAACAGAGGACCTTATGTGAACATCATGCACATGGTTGAAAGGTAACAGTGCATAGAAGCTTAAAATTGAGAAACCACAACAGCATAGAAGTGTATAAAGTAATAATACATAAGACTTCAATATAGCAGGCAAAATTCCTTAACGCCCCCACCAGATAAGGAAACTTCATTAGGCCAATTTGATTATACAAACAAAATTACAAACTAGCTATTATAGACAAGGAAACCATCCCAAGAGATGAATATCAATGGTGAATTTTGTCTAAAGGTATATTAAATATCATAGAAAACAAAGTGATAGATATCATAGAGATCTAAAATTGTATTTCAAGAATCTTCACAAGAAGAAGCATCATAATTCATAAGTACAATTTATAAGAACATAAGAGGGGGTGGGGAGAGATAAAATGCTTAGAATAACATCTTCTAACCTCTCTTGTTCTGATAAGAAGTTACTGTTAAGAAGTTTCTGGAGCAATGCATCCTGAATTGCAGTGAACATAAACTACTTGTCATATGTCATACCAGAAATGCATGTTTTTAATAATCAGTAGTGATCAAACACATCAAACCAGTAGAACATCATCAGCAAACTAGAGCCAAATTTCATAAAGTTTTGCTTCGATCTATCAAATCTCAGGTTTCAGACAAAAGTATTTCCATAATTCATAAAAAAGAAATATTATTGATGATAAAAGGAAGAAAAATGAGTAACTAGATTGAAGAGTTCAAATAAATCATTTATGCTTGCAAGCAAAATTTTGAAGGGGGGAAAGGAGAAATCTTAACGCAAATTTTAGGTATTGCCTATTAGGATTCAAGTTAAATCATGTTATGTGGAATAGCTCTTTCAAGGAGTAGATAATGTGCCACTAAATTTAAAAGCATCTAAATGTTAATTTTTACTAAGAACCCAATGGACAACAAACATCTAGCACGCTGTATCTAGGTCTTGTCTAAAAAACTAAACAATAAAACGTTTCCAAAGCCAAAAAAATGCATTGCTGTAGTCCATAAATGACTTTTGGTGAAGAGGATAAAAGGCAGCAAACCGTAGATGACAAGACCTTTTTCAGATATTTTATCATTAGCTTTGGTTTAAGCCTTACATTATCTATTGGGATTTGAGTGGCAATCTCCGTTGCCTCCTTTCAATGTTCAAATATTTTCAATCAATAAAATAAGTTAGAAAGGAAATTAAACTCTGATTTTCTACAGATATCATACTTGAGCTTCACAGCGTACAACTGCCATCACACGATCATTGTATTCTTCAATACTTAGGGGAGGAAATAAAAAGTGCCTGCGAGCATACAGCTGCTTGATTCACAAACAATGAGGATTAGATATTTATTTAGGAATAGTTCATAACAATTGTTTGAATTCTAGCGAACCAAACATGCTTGCTCAATTGAAACAGTCATCAAGAAGCTGGAGAAGACCAAATTACGTGTTTGAAGTGAAGAATGAACCTATATGCCTTTAAAAGCTCTTGTGCATTCTAATGGGAAGCATGCCATGTTATGTTCACTTAAATGCTCATAGCATTCGTGTGGTGTTGCTCGTAAAGATCTTTCTAGGGGATTACAGTGCCTCAGTAATCAACATCTTTACTCTTTACAAAGTACTTGCATATCTGCAGACGATCACACTTTACTATTCATTAAAGGATTACTTTCTTTATAGTATGTTAGAGGGAACTAGTTTATTGCTCAAATGGGGAACGCCAAAAGCAGAAAGAAAAGGGAAGTAAAACTGAGAGAATGACAAGAAATCCTGCAAAACAGTCAAAACTGAAAGAAAGCCAGATCCAAAGGTTTGAAATGCAACTTTTTTAACCTCTCTTTATATTTCAAATAAAAATAAAATAATAATGATCAGAGCACTTGGCAAAAGCCATAAGCGTACTCCTATCTCATAACACCCATATAGGGCAGGGGCAAAGAGACAACCTTGAATATGCAAGCGTTCCACTCCAACTAAGTACACTAAGCAGCTGCTGAACTGCATATTGCCTAAAAAGTTTGGTCTCACTACACAACTTGCTCATTCACGATTGCTTGTGTTGGCCCCCCCCCCCCAAAAAAAAAAAAAAGAATCTCAAAATTAGAGGCCAACAAACTGCAAAATATGTTTATTCATGGACAATATTTAGTGGCACTAAAGCAGAAATCAGAAGCCAACCTCATATATACAATCGCCAATATATGCTAAGGACGCTGCATTAAATACAGATCGAGGCTTCACCACTTTTGGAGGACTTGGTAACCATCTCTCATATCCCAAGTAGGTTTCGTCTGGCTCTGCTGTACTCCCTATGAAGAAATTTTAACAAGCAATCATTGAATGCTTCAGAATCTTTTAGATGAAAATTTTGAAAGAAAAGATACCAAATGAAACAGCAATGATGAAGAAGTATAGCTAAATAGTAAATAAAAAGTATTAAAGATAGAAAATCCATTATGATAGAAGAAAGTACTTCAAAATAAAGTATTAATCTTTAAACAAGCGGAACTTAGAAGAACCCGCAATAAAACAAGCATGTATGTTCTAGTTCAGTAAAATGTACAACATTCAGCAATCAAGCAGCATAACTTCGAAAGCATGTATAATGTATTAAAGGCACTTCCTTTTTAACACAGAATTCCAAGCTGCGCTAAAACATACATCAAGAGTCATTTTTCTACACCCAGCTAAAACAGTTAGACAATAGACAGCCTGTAAGTCAATTATTTATAACTATTTATAATAACTGTGACTATAGGTCTAATTCAAGTTGCCCTTACATTGTCATTTTACACTACATAGGAGAAATGAATCACATAATTTCAAATTCCATTCTCATACCCCCCAGTTCTTCAATCTTCGGATAGAGCGCAGAGAATAGATAGTAGGAAATTAACCAAGATAACCAGCTCAACAAAAAATCCCGTACACGAAATACCTTCACTAGTGTCAGGACTGTTGCGCTTCAGAAGATCAGAAACGTACTTCTCCGTCCATGTAGTTGAGGAAGATGAACTAAGAGAAGGAGATGCTTTTAAAATTGGCGTCTGGCTGAGAGTGTTCGTGTTCTTCTTGAGCTTTCTGGGAGCATTGGGATTATAAGGAAGCCTCTGCTCCGTGTCCCATGAAGCTTTCGTGCTCGCAGAAGATACAGAGAGTGTTTGCATTTTATGGGTAGCATGGAAGAGATAGGAATTCTGCAAGTGTGAGGTGGTAGCATGGGACGCCATTTACAAGGAGCTTCCGAGTTCCTGCGAAAAAAGATATTTGATACTTCTGCAGGGAGGACCGGCTGAGGGGAGGCGATAAAGTTTTTTGTTTTGATTTTCATTATAATGGGCCTATTGGACTTCTGGTAAAAAAAAATCTTAGTCTATTGGACTTCTTCTTAAAAAATAAGTTCCACATCCGTCATTAAAATGGACCTCTTGGACTTCAGGTCAGGGGTTTAAACCCAATAATTTTTGAAAAAAATTCACTCAAGTTGTTTAAAAAACATACTCAATCTTATCAAAAATAAATAAATAAAACACTCAACTTGTTCTAGTTCAAATAGGCTCCATGTAAAGCTGTAAAAACAGGTCAAGCCCATTAGGTTAGTCCATTTGAGCCTGAATTAAGTTAGGGTTGTACTACTAATTTAAGGGTTATAATTGAATTTTAAACTTAAAAGGCTAACCTTGATGGGCTTAAAAATAGAAGGGATTGCCCTTTAAGGCCCTATTGTTAAGATAAAAAGCACAAAATACAAAACAAAAAAAAGCCTAATAATACTTAAGCAGGCAATCAGGAGACTAGATATTTGAATGATGCTGTTATGATACTTGGATGTTTGGGTTCCTCAAGCTTAACATCTTTGTTGATGATACTTGAATGATGTTGCTATGTTACAGATTTGATATGGATTTATTTCAATCAATTTTCTAGGCTTAATCTTACCTATAATAATTTTTTTATCAAAATGTGTGTATTAGGTATTTAAATTTAAATTTAAATTATATGTATATATATAGACCCAGGCCCACAAAAGCCGATTCTTCAGCCAAACCGGGTTTCAAAAAACACACTGTCACAACCCTTAAAATGTTTTTGGGCTTTTTGAGTGGTTTTTTAAGGCTTTGCCTTTCAATGGCGAGCATCAAAAAGTCAAGTCAACCGTAAAGCTCCACCAATGCTTGGCAACATTTTTTTTTAAATTTTTAATTTTAAAATGCAGTTCTGTATGTTTTATTTTGTTCTTTTTTTACATAATTTTCAAAAAGGTCGTCTTAGCTAGTTCTAACTTAAAAATATTGTATCTTAAAATATATATATTTTATACTATTTTTTTGGTAAGATAGAAGTATCTCTTGCTAATGATGGATATGGATTTCTTGAGATGTAGAGAGTGAAATGTTTTTTTTTTAATTAGATTTGGTCCATGCATTAAAGTTGAAAATCAGACTCTCAATCTTTTACTGGAGCAAGACCGCTTAACAATTCTTTTCTTTTATTTTCTTTGTTAACGGGAGAACTCAAACCACTTAATTACATCAATGAGTTGATATTTTATATGACAGTATGACATTAAATCCAATCTTGTTACATATTGGAACAATTAAGTAATAAAGTTTCAGCCTTGTGTAAATTCACGTTTCTACGTGACAGTTAAAACATAAATCATTATAAAAATGTTGATTTTAGTACTAGTTTTAGTACTATTGTTATGAAAAGCCAACCTCAACTGAGGAGGACCTTATTGGAAAATGCATGCACAAGTAGTGGGTGTTTAGTGGACTGGGATGGATTTGCACCACAAGAAAGTGGAAGTCATGGCATTAGCCTTAACTAATAAAAAGAAGTGATTAATCTCATTAAAAAAAAAAAAAGAAGTGATTAGAAAAGTGACAAAGGAAATAAAGAGAGAACACTAAGTTATTAGACATAAAGTCATATTTTTCTTTTTGTTCAAAAAACAAAATTGTTCCATAGGCTAGTGAGTTCTTTAATGATTTTATCATCATTTTGAAGTTTTGGTCGGCAACTGATGAGCAAATCCCTTCAAGAACAGATTAACGGTTGAGCCTCGTTAATACATGGGCATGATAGCTTGACAGGTTACTTGAATTTGTATGAGGGATGAGAGATGGTTACAGACTAAATATGAGTCCCTTCCTTGATAGAAATTCAAATCTTGGGTTATTATGGTGCAAAATATTTGTCACTTACACTAAACCTAACCCTGTCAATAGATTATTTTATTTTTTAAATACAATGCTACAAACACTGAAAAATCAGTTCATGTACGAGCATCAAAAACATCTGCATCCTAAGGGCGGTTCTACAAATCTATAGTAATTAAATTGACATTTAACACTAGGAACAAACTCGTTCACACATTTATTTAATGATATGAAAACATAATTGAAAGTTGTTAATAGATCATTTGAATCTTTTAATCATCATTGTAACACCATTCTAAAGTAGCTTTTATGAAAATAAAAAATCTCCATGATGAACCCCGCAGGCGTTTTTAACAAGTACTAGGAGAGCTTGCATTTAAGTATATTTATTAAGTGAATCAAAATTAATAGGTAGAATATCAAATTTTGTAGTATAATATACAATATTTAATTCAATAAAATCATAAAAAAATTCTTAAAATTTGTCTAAGCCGAAAGATCCCCCCTAATCAACTAATATAAAATTAATCCTGTTCCAATAAAATTGAAATTTAATCCATACTCCTTTTATTAAAAAATACAATGTTGAAATATTATTTATGAATTAGCATTAATTAATAAGCCCAATAGATTGGTCTTTATGATCTTGTGTGGACCGTGATAGGTGGACCACACAAGTGAGCCCAATGGGCAAAGGCCCAACCCACAATCCAGTGGCCATCAGTTATTTCCTATCTCTTAACTGACTGAGTCAGAGATAATAGATAATATAATTATTTAATTATTTAATAAGGCAGTTACCGATCTGATCTATATAAGATGATTAGTTGGTAACCGCAAACACACGACTCATTCTTTTACTTTCATTATCTCTGAACTCTCTGAAGGCTCCGGGGACTTGTGGGTTGTGTACCTGCCTATACTCGAGGTAATCAAGATTTCCCTAGCACTCATGGATTCTTCAGGTACACTGAATTACTTTATTCTATCATATTTTATTATACATATGAATTGAAATGATCAGATTCAACACGTGGCATCAGAACCTGGTTAACGAATTTAAATTTATATATCTCAATTCTTCTTACGTATATATTAATATGTTGATAGAGATTCATCTCATATTGATATATTTCCTTATGATCCATATTCTTCAGGAAATGAGATTTGAATATGAGAACTTTGTTTTAAATCCTATTATTATTAAAAAAAATTCTCCTTCTCGGCATCATCTCCTTGTTCACTGTATGTCTCTGTCACCGGAGAAGGACTCCAAGGACATCGGACATGATCGACGGAAACTGAGCTGCCGGTGCGTCGTCTGTAGCTTCGTTCTCCGCCGCTGCTCGCCTTGCCCCAGGTAGCCGGCGTCTTCCTCCCTTGACTATGCCATCATTTGGAGCCAGCGAGAGCTAATGCTGCACTCGCCGGAGCCACTGCTGGCATTGTGGACCGCCGACATTGTGGTCTCGACCACTGGTGCCGTTGCTCGTCCTTCCCCTCCCCTGGTGCTTCTGGCTCGCGGCAGCTGAAGGAAGTTGCAACAAGATCATGTGGTTCTGGGCCCAAATTTCGTTTAGGCCCAGAGCTATTATTATTAAAAAAACAAAGGCAATTTTTTTTTCTTTCGTGGGCTGTCTTATTCACTTAGAGGCACTGTGGGAGGCCCAAATCGAATGGGCCCAGAACAGTGCAACCAAAAAATATATATATATATATATATATATATTTCTGTTAATTGCGTTTTCGGCTCCACTTTTTTTTAAATTACCTCCTCGGCCCATAATTTCTTTAATTTTCTAATTAACCCCAGTATGTTTCTGAAAATTACATTTTAGTCCCTTAACTTTTAAAATTCAATTTTGGACCCAAATCTCTTCCAGAATTACCTATTTACCCCTGAACACCTTTCAGAATTTCACTTGAGTCCTAAATTTGTTCCTTAATTCTCAAAAGCCCCAGGAACTTTGAAATTACTTTCTTTTGTCCTAAGGTCATAAAATTTGTGACTTTGTGAATTATTGATGATGCTCAGGATCTTGAAGTATGGATAATGGACATACCCCACAGGTGTGACATTATCAATGTGATTTTGATGGTTGGCTTTGAGGATAGGCTAAAAGCACTCCTTTAATGTGTTAAATATTTATTGTACCCTATAGGTATGGAAATGTTTAATGCATTATTTTGTATGAACTTTTGTATGAGCTAATTTTTTATGGTATACGAGCCTTTTTTGGTGCATGATTATAGTTGCTTAATTGATAATCGCTTGTTGGGAAATTCTGTTTTATAATTATGTTATGCACGCATAATTAATATTTCTCATTTTCTGTTTTGCGATTTCAGTTTCTGCTTTTACGCAACTATCCTTTGTGAAGGCTCTCAATGGGACTAACTATGATGACTGGAAAGAGTCCCTTAATATGTATCTGACCATTTCTGAAAAAGATTTAGCTCTGAGAGAGCCCAAGCCTGCGGATCTCTCTTCCAAGTCCAATGCTTCTGAAATAGCCTTCCATAAATAATGGAGTGAGTCCAACCGGATCTGTCTAGCGATCATCAAATACACAATTGAAAAGAGAATTAAGGACAGCATTCCTGAAAATGATACTGCAATAGAGTACTTGAAAGCTATTAGTAACAAATACAAGAAGCTTGACAAGACTCAAAAAAACTATTATCTGTCACTTCTTGACAATACTCGATATGATGGAGTTTCTAGTGTCAGGGAGCACATTCTAAAGCTTGTTCATTACTATAACAAGCTTAAGTCATACGGGATTGATTTGGGTGAAAGTACCTTGGTTTACCGTGTTCTTCAATCACTGCTATCAGAGTACGCATTCTTGAGGACTTCATACAACCCACAAGAAGCTGAATGGTCTGTTGACTAGATGATATCAATAGTCACTCAAGAAGAGGAAGCTATGAAGAAGAATTCCTCTTACTCAATAAACTATGTTTCTCATGGCTCTAGTAGCAAATCTGGAGGGTCATATAAGAAAAAGGGGAAGAAGCATGATGCCCCAAAGCCTAATAATCCAACCTTTAAGAAGGATGGTGATAAGAGTGAGAAGTTGAGGAAGTAACCCTTTAAAGGGTTATGCAATTATTGCAAGAAATCAG